CATATATAACATGTGTATGTGTATTTATATACACATATACATATACACACCCATACCCTTCCGCCGGATGCTTGTTCGAGAAGGCTATTCAGGACCATTCAGGCAGGCTCAGCGTTTGCAATAGGCATTCGTAGGTGAGCCCTGCAAGCTGCCTGGTCCACCACTGCCTTCTGGTCAATCTTGGAACTGAGTGCCTGCAGGCTTGGATCTTCCGAAACGAGCGGTTTCAACCTGGTGTGGTGTTGCACGGAATCACGGTAATGCAGAAGTAGCCGTTGAAGAACACGGCAGCATACCAATGCCGTATCGTGGTACATTCGAGAAACGTTGAAACAGTCGCTCTTGAGTCTGCATGATTTCCGACTACCAGCTGGAGAGGCGGACCTCTTTCAGCTCTCGGCTCCCCTCCACAGGCATGTGTATATTTGTATGTGTGTAGGCATGCGTGTGCGTATACACGTAAGTTTGCATATGAGCATACTCATACATGTCTACATATCCCTTTACGGAAATACATCCTTGTATGCATCCGTCCATACATACACACATTCTCATGCAGAAACATGTGCATGTGCATAAAGGATATCTGAACACTAGTAGATAACCTAACGCTAACCTGTGTTCGAAAAACGACTAGAAACGGCAATGGGAATCAAATGATCAGGAACACAGAGCAACGACACCACACAAGCACGCACTATACATCCCGTCCATACTGTTCGAGACTGGCACAAGACCTCCGTCAAAGCGATCATGCAATTTCCAGATCTGTTAACGAAAACCTTTTCGTGCCTTCCACTGCGCCAGCGTGGGAACGCTGCCAGAGTCTGCCTTCCTCTGCAGCGATGCAGAGATCTCCTGAAATTGCAAAGATAGAGTTGCGAGCTGCTTTACGTCACCAGTCTCACTACGATCTGGGAGCAACGTTCACTTCAAAGTTGCCAAAGCCAATGCCCCCCGAATCATCTGTGGAGGTCCTGCAGCCGCACCAGAGTGCTTACAGCATTCTGCTCGTTCCGCCGAGCTACCTCCACGGCGACAGTCTCGCGCAGATCCTGCACACAACTTCGTAGCTGTAGTTAACCGTTCATGTGTTCAGAGGTACCAAAGAGAAGGAAGCAAGGAGAGATGCGCGCCGTGTCTCAAGAGGGAGTCTCTCTTGTCTGGCCAGTCATTCCCTGCAGAGAACGCACCATCTATTCTAAATCCTTGCCTCGGACGGACAAGGCCTCACAAAGCCTGGGGCGTGCAAACGCGCCTTCCCAACGAGGTCCTGCAACTCCTTGCATGCCATGATTACTTGATTGTCGTGGGGCTGTTTCGGGAGCATGAAATTCACGAAGGTTCGTGCCGTCAAAACCGTGAAGTCAAGGGAACGGAGATGAGGACGGTCACTTCAATACTCCAGACACTTGCACGAAGCCTTGGTCTGGGCACAGAAAACATCCCATTACCCTCTGAAGAACTGCAGGGAATCTCACCAGGATCTGGGTACCTTCGTCTCACCACAAATTTGGTGAATGCGCAACGCCGTACCACAGTCTGACAGTAGACGTTGAGACTCTCGTTTTGGGAGGGATTCACAAAAATCGTTGCCACACCCTTGATCCACAGCGTATCCCCGCGATGCCTGCAGCCTGAGCTGATGCTGCTCTGTTGTGTTCTGCAGAGAACGCAAAAGAGGCGAGACGTGGCACTCGAAGTACTCCGAGCACAGTCCTGCACGAAAAATCTTGTCAGGGCAGCGAGCCAAAGTCGCTTCGACTCTTGTATCTCCGCAGCTACATGTTGCTCACCGTTAAAGTAGAGTCGGACTATGGCAAGTCGGGCGCAACCGAGGTCCGTGCATCATTCGGAGCCTGACGTTGCGGGCCTCAAATGCTCTAATAATCTAACCTAATGCACCTCGACTCCAAACCTGGAAACACAGCAGACTCCTCAGGTCCTCGAACAGCTACGCTCAGGTCCACAGTGGTCCGCCTCTCGGCCTCCTCGCGGATCGGTTGCGATAGGAAGGCCTTATCCATCGTCCCGCCTACCCTGACCTCGGAGATTTCCTGAACCTACCACTGCACCCCTTGCACTTCGTCTGCTGAGAACAAGGGAAGGCTCAGCCATAATGGAAATTGTGCCCCGCTAGGGCTCTGGAGCTGCAAAAAGCCGACATGACGCCCCCACAAACAACCAATCAGTACCCAGATGATAAGCAAAAGAAGCTTTGGACGGCATGGTCGTTCACGATGGCGGAAAACCTAAGAAAACCGAAGAACACTAGAAGTTCTTCCCATGGTTGGCATGTGCTGCAAGCTTCTATCCAGCCGAGTGGCGTAAGGAACAGGATGACTCGCACCCAGAAAGGGCAACTTTCACATCAATCCATCAATGCATTCCTTGCTGTACACTGTACAAACCAGACGTAGGCGTAGAACGGTGCTGTGTTGCTCCAACCCGGAACCCAAGGCCACACCTCGCTGTCAGCATCGCCGTCGCCTCGCAAGTTCAGAGCTATTGGAAAAGGTGATTTGTCGGATCTAAACTGTCAAATCAGGACCCCTTGGGCCGTGCTCGACTGTATCACTATCGACCATCTGCGGACACTCGATCATAACCCTTCTAGGAGCCGGGTCCTCCTGGCGCTAAACGGCTAGGACCTAGAACACCGGAATCACAACAACCGCTACACATGCGATCTCTTGATGGAACTTCTTTCAAACTCCATGCTTTGGCAAGTTTCACAAAACTCTCGACTCCAGCTTGCAGTGCTTCCAAGAAGCCGATGAAGTAGCTCATTTCGTGGTCGGGCCGATTGTACCACTCCGTAAGCGTTGCTTTCCCCTCGCGATCCTGGTGGCACTGCAATTTGTGCCGGCAGCCGTGCTCACAGCATGCGGCAAACCTTGAAGCTCATTTGTTTCCCGGTGAAGCTGAACTCAAATGAACTCTTGAACTTCTGTTGTTATGACGCCAACGACAGAATGCCATGTGGCTCCACGTGCCGAGGAAACCAACACCGGAGGACCATCGGGCAATATGACGACTTGTCCGGTAGATCAGTCCTATGCACCATGCAGTCAGAAAAATTTTTCCGGCCTTACCACGAAACTAAACAAGGTTCTAGCCCAGGCTGCGCCTTCCCCAAACGAACTGTCTTGGCCGCCACGAGAGGGGATGCTTCCGCCTGTGGTGAAGCTGGCGCAGCATACTTCGTGAAACACGATATTCCTTGTGTGTCTGTGACAAAGTACTGCTGGCCCAACCATGGTCACCGACGGACGATCGAGTGCGGCTAGGAAGACCAAAAGCACCGAGTTCGGCAGGCCCGCCGATTGCCTCAGGGGCCATACTTGGCTGCCTTCCTGCCTTCGCGAAGTGATCCTCGACAGTGCCAGCACGGGCTATTCAGGCGCTCGGCTTGCAAGGTTTTTACGCACGATCAGGAAAAGTCCCCGCCTGCATTAGTGGAGTGGCTGCTGGCGGGGCGAGCTCCTCCTGCACATCTTAAGATTCTTCAGCTTGTTGGGCAAGGATGCCAGGAATTGCCAAGGTCTCGAACCGCTAATCAAAATGTGACGATCCAGACGTCATTCGACCATGGTGGAGTTTGGAGCCTTTGCTGCCGCTAGCTGATTCCGCAACCGTTGCAGGTAGAACTGCCCGAACTTAATCAAACACAGAACAACCTTCCAGCGTGCAAGGCGTTCCCAATCGTTTCACACACTCCATGACTCCATGCAGATGCCTCGCCTCCTGTACTCCGTGCTCCACTTGCGACCAGACACGTCCTGGCGGCGGCTATGGTGTCGGTTTAGGCTTATCAAAAACTGTGGGATGCTTATCTTGCATCGGAGCTTTGAAACTCTGAGTCAAACAAATCACTCTTATTTCTCCTATCTCTGAGTTGACTCACAGGTTCAAGAGAAGACTGGAGCAGGAGCTGCAGAGCACTGTCGCCCAGGAGGTTCCTTTGCCATTCTCATGGGTGCGCCCACCGTTATAGCGGTTGCCCTTGCGTCGCATTTTTGACGCCAACCGCTTGCAACACTAAATCCAACTATAAAAGCAAGCTGTGGAATGTTTTGCGGTGCCAAATCCCTGGCTGTTGATGGGTACACCGTCTGGCTGATACCCGAATAACCTGAGGAGTACCGGTGCTTCACTTGGCATTAAGCACGTGCATCCCAGTCCCAGGCCATGTATGCTAGGTCTTGCGTGTTGTGTCCAGAACCGATAGTGCTTCATCACCTCTATTCTGCAGTAGCTTGCGTTGGATTGCATGGTGCATCTGTCGTGTCATGTGATGCCTCTACGACTGAGAGCCAAGATAACCGATCGCGAACGTCAAATGAAGCACTGGGCCCGAAGACCTTGGATTTTTGAACCGAGGGCACTTCTTGAAACCCTCAAGAAATTCAATGTCCTCCAAGAAGGGCACCCAAGAACCACCAAGCAATACTCAAACGGCTACAGACACGCGGGACGCAAAGGAGAGACAAGGCCAAGTCTAACGCCGCTGCCGTATATAGCACAATCGAAAAGCTCGCATTGCTATAACGAAAATCTGGAGAAGCAGCGGCTGCTGCTGCTCCTCCTCCTCCTCCTCCTCCTCCTCGTCCTCCTCCTCCTCGTACTGCTTCTACTGCTACGGCTACTGGTCCTGCCACCACCACCACCACCACCACTACTACTACTACCACCACCACCATCACCACGACGCTACTACTACTACTACTACTACTACTCCTGCTGCTGCTGCTGATGCTGCTGCTGCTACTACTGCTACTGCTACTGCTACTGCTACTGCTACTGCTACTGCTACTACTACTACTACTACTACTACTACTACTACTACTACTACGACTACTACGACTACTACGACTACTACGACTACTACGACTACGACGACGACTACAACTACTACTAAATTATGCTCCTGCTGCTGCTGGTCGTGACGAATGCTGAACATTGGCCATTGGCCAACCCATGCTTGGAACGGAGGGCACTCGCCAAGGGGCACCCGAAATGGTCGTGCCTCGGCACATAGCAAGTTGCAAACTGTCGACGGCAGCGTAAATTCGGCATGCTGCCTCAATTGCACTGCACCTTGTCCACTGCACTATTGGGGCACAGCGCCGGGCGGCCACAAGTCACGAATCTTACAGCGCCACCCACAGGAGGAGAAAACATGAGCATTTCTGGTTGTGATGAGAGGCCTTTCAGCTTAGCTCCTGACCAACCCAAAGTCTGCGATCTTCAAGCGCAATCTCTGGTCGATCAAGAGGTTCTGCGCGCAATGGATCGGCTCAGTCCCCAACACTGTCGAGAAGTGTGTGTTTCAACCCAGCGCTAGACCCAGAAAAAAGTAAGCGTAAACCGGACACCATGAGCCAGCCCTGAACATCTACAACCTAAAACAAGCCCTGCACCTACGATTTAAAAAACGCCACCCCAGGCTTCTACTGACAATTCCGTTGATGCCGAAAGCGATGTTTGTGCATGATAGCGACAAACTTATGATGGTGGTGTCTATCATGACAACAATGAGGATGAATGACATGACTGGCTGCACAGACTAGGACGGAACAGGGGCGCGAGCACCTGCGAATTCACTGCTCCACGCAGTCTCTCGCACTTGCCTACCTCTGCTGTGATGAACGTCTTTGTTGTGCGTGGCGTGGCTGCTTTGTGGGCACTCGGGTGAGCCACCGAACCCCGCAAGCATGGAATCAAACCCTGGGCCACGGGTCCTTGGCAAAACGTTCCCGCACCCCAAGCCTTAAAACTAACCTTAAGCCGAAGTTCGTGATCCAGCCAAGAGTTTTACTGATGTGAGAAATGACGACGCCGCTGCGGTCTTGTACTTCTACTTCGGGCTTTAGCATTCAGCTTCGCAAACGGTGGACTTAACGATGCTCGTCTGCTTTTGAAACCAACCAAATAACTACACGTTTGACTACGACGCATTACGTCGCCTGACCTAGTCAGATCACCAAGCCAGCGCAACCAAAAACACGCGGAAAGCACGGAATATGCAACAACCAGCCAAATGCAGCTGAGCAGAGCACGATGCAACATAGCAAACAACAACAGAAGATCCATCCGGAGCCAACAAGTCACCCACCCACTCCTGCGCACACATGCACTCCTGCGAGCGCGAGCTTTAGAGTCATCCCTTGCTTGACCACATGAGTTATCTCTTCGACGAATCCACAAGCTCCAGGTTGCAGTTCGCAACATCTCCCGGTTCGGCCAAGTCCAACATTCCCGAAACCTGTTTCCGACTTCATGACCATTCATGACTTACTGAGGCATGAATGTAACTGTACGAGATAGTTTGTGTTCGCTCATTGCTCAATCACATGCAGGCATTCGTCGACCTCTCGAAGAGTCGTGCGCCTAGAAGCGACATAACCCATGCTCAACATGTACCACTCACTGTTCTGTCGCTTGGACACTGACTATAGGTGACTAAAGCTCACTGCTTTGTCTTGCTTTCCTTTGCAAGACTTGTACTCGAGGACCAACCCTGACTGTGCAGAGATGAGTTTTCGGACTGAAAGAGCTTCGCGCCTGAGGTTTGAGATCACGATGCAGAATCCTGCTTGCATGGCAAAATTCCACTCCGCGCAGGAGCTGCCACCTGACCCAGTCTAGCACATCCCACGTGTTTTGCTGCAAATCTGCCGGAGCACCTCTACATGGCGTGGCAAGATTTGCATAGGCTTAGGCAGGGCAATCTCGCAATCACTGCCGACCGGCTCCCGAATCCAGTGCTACGAATACGATACACACCATACTGTGGCCATAAGGCGGCGGGCGGAAAAGTGAACCACGAAACGGCAGTTGTGAGTTCAGAATGCATCAGCAACGGACAGTCTCGGACCTGCTGCAAACTAGTGGCAGGGATCAACGCTCAAGTGGCTGCAGTGACCGCATCCCTAGGACTGTCCACGGGTACTTGCAAAACTATCTCTGCAGAACGCCCTGATGATGCAGATCATTGAAAGCCGCCGACGATTGCGGGCTGGTCACGCAAACTTCTTGACCATCGCCGGGCTTAGCGGACCCTCCAAGGCGCGCATGTACCTCGCAACTTGCAGACAGAAAGCCGACTGAGAACAGCAGACGTTGCACAGCAAACGTGCGAGTGGAGTTACGACAGTGACATGGCCCACTTTAAGTCGCTGCGAAGGCAAAGCAGGTTGCCATCATCCCACAGCAAAGAGCAAGGAACCTTTGCTGGTTTTGTTGCCTTCGTTATGTCTGAACCTAGGTTTCATGGTAGCAGAGTGCACGTAGCGGCCGCCTCGTTTCTCCAACAATCTAGAACAGATTATACGAGATGATACTGTATAGATATACATAAACATCTCTCTCTATGTATATATATATATAGATACTTATATATATATATACACATATCATAGTAAAATATAGCATCGTATGCCATGGTAAAATATCTAGTATAGTATAGTATAGTATGGACAAGACAAGAATATAGTAAGGCATAGTATAATGTGTGTTGCTGTTCGCTTTATACTAAAGTATAGTCGAACATTCTATAGCTTCTGTATGTTTTCAGGCTTTATAGACAATCCGTAGCGCATGCGTTACATTGCATTACATTGTATGTCGTTACACTATGTTCTCTGCTCCAGCACATTGTATGCTGCCGTGAAACACTACTTGCTAAAATATGATATCGAATTTGTGCTACTTTGTTATATCATGCTCGATCAGACCAGAGTAGAAGAGAACCGTTATTTTGGTGTGTATATACACGTATGTGTGTTTACCATATTTTGCAAGCAGATGCTCACATATTACACTGTGACCTGATGTTTTTATGTAAAACTGTAGTCTGTCATGTGATATTAGGTCATAATATGGGTCATAATATGTACTACTACTACTACTACTACTACTACTACTACTACTACTGCACTACTACCACCACTACCACTACAACCACTACAACCACTACTACCACCACTACTACTACTACTACTACTACTACTTTTACCACTACTACTTCTACTTCTACTTCTACTTCTACTTCTACTTCTACTTCTACTACTACTACTACCACCACTACTGCTACTACTACTGCTACTACTACTGCTACTACACTACTACTACCACTACCACTACCACTACTACTACTACTACTGCTGCTACGAAGCATCTGGGCTCGAACGAAGACTGTCCGTGTGTGTGTGTGTGAGTGTAGAAGTAGGCTGCAGGATGGTACTTACACACCTTCTCCTCCTGGCCTGCCTTCTCTCTCCCAATCCTTTCCCACCCCATCCGCAAGCCGCTGGGACCAAATCTCCGCCCGTGGCCGACTTGCCCTGGCCTGAGAGGTGCGAGCCTCAGCTGGTACTGCTACCCTGCATATGGAGCAACAGCCAGGACCTGCCGTCCCTTCTCAGCGCTCCTGCCGATACTTGCAGGCTCAAGCTACTGCCTAGTGTCAGCATACCGGCCCCTGCTGTGTCCAGAGGCCCTGCCGAACCATGTCGCGGCCAACCTCAGACCAACCTGGGGCACCATCAGGATCGCCTCCACCCACAGAGCAGGTCAACCTTGCCGAGACACTGGCCAGCTTGCATCAGACCCTGGACAACACGATCGTCCGAGAACGCTACAGGGCAGGGCTGCACCATCAGGTATGGAACACCAATAACTGGGACCGCATCGGATCAGCGACTGCACTGCGCCCTGGTCCCCTGCCGACCACTGACGAGCCCCAGAGCTGTCAGAAGCCTCAGGCCCAGCCGGGCTCTCCGGACTCCATTGACACGGCGGATCTCATGGCAGCTGCTGAAGAAGCGGAGCGGACTCTTGCTTCCCTGGCCAAGCCCTCCAGCTCTAAGGATCCAAGGCGCTCTCGATCGAGATCCCGCTCTCCTGTCGGTACGGAGACCACACCAAAGGCACCAGGCTCCCTCCCTTCTACAGACAAGTCTTGATGGAAGCCGTTTCAGCCAAGTTGCCCAGCAGTGCAGCACCGACTTGATACTGGCCACAGCAAAAGATCGATACTGGCCTGCGCTCACGACCTGTGCTCTTGGCCCTGCTAACACCCATCCCCACTTGTCCTGCCCCTGTACTGGCCCAGGTGACCCTACTACAAGGACTACACTGCCCGTGACTCACACCGAGCACTTTGTCTGCAGTCATTCCCTCACCTCTGCCCGTGCACCCAGGCTAGAGGGGTCCTCGCCTGCGGTGGCCTGTCCCTCGGCACCTGCTTCCATGGACGCCGATGTGACCGCCCCACGCGATGCTCAGGCGCAAGCTCTCGCCGAGCCGGCGCCTCACTGTCACTGCCCCGACCCATGTGCTAGAGTCTTCCGACACATGTCGGCTCTGTCCTGCCGCAACCGCCTGGCGCCGTTCCTGACGGACCTTCAGGCCTGCCTACCTCCGTCGACCACACAGGCCCTCTCATCGAGCAGGCCCCCGCCACTGCCAACAGTCAGCGTTGCTCCTCTGCCTTGTTGTGACCGGCCTCTGACGCAGCTGGGTACCTCTCAAACAGGAAACCAGCCCTGGTCCTCTATAGACCTGATATTCAGGGCCTTTGACGGGATGCCGCGGTCAGACAGCAAGCGGCGACGTGATCAATCCCGACCTGGCAGGCTAAACCGTCTGTACACTCAGGAGTGTGAAGGTGTTCGACACCCACGAGAAGCCGCACCTCCGCCCTGCACCATCTACTCCGAGGCGTTCTATCATCGTTCTCCAGGTTGGATGCAGCGCTTACATGAGCAGCTTATGCAAGAACAGCAGCCAGACAGCAGAGACCTGGAACCAAGGCCAGAGACGGCCCCAATTCGCCTGAGGTCCGCGGGCCGTTCCAGACCGGGCGCCTCACCGACGAGACTGACTCGCAGCCGGCGCTCTTCCTCGCGTTCCCGACGGCCGCCCAGCACGAAGCCCAGGCGCAGACCCCGGTCTCGAAGCCCTGCGAACAGGCCACCTCCTTCCAAACCAGCGCGGCCCCAGGGCACACCGTCGCCGCCTAAGAAGCCACGCCGGAATACAGCTCCCAACAGCACCACTGTCCAACAGAAGGATTCCCCTCGGGAAAGAGCCTCCCCCTCTCGACAAGTTGACCGGCCCTCGACGAGACCAAGAGCAGTGCATCCAGGTCCCCCTGTCATGCCCCCAGCCCTCTATAGACAACACCGGGCAGACCAAGGCCGACCACTGGAGGACGACAGCTACTCTTACTACTCTGACTCAGAGCCAGCCACACCCAGGCAGTGTCAATCGACCCACCGAGGTCCAGAACGGGCACCACCTGCCCCGGCTGTAACCGGAAGCCCCCTCCAAGCGGGAGAGCTCATCACCAAACTCCTCCAGCCCGACACCACGGGCAGCCGGCCCTCGCGACCTCGCTCCTCCAGCTCAACCAAGAGCCGTGCCAAAGCATGCCGACACCTCAGCTCTGTCCTGCTGCAGCCACTCTGTTTCCACTACCACTGCAGTGATCCTTGGTGCAGGACTGTGATCAGCGCCCGCCCTCATCCACTACAGTGTGAGGTTTCTCTCGTAAGGACCCGAGCTCAGCTAGGACCAGGCATGCAGAGAAAAACTAGCCTGGCGTGCGGGCATCACCTGCCGAGACATCCATGCTTAGAGCCAACTCCCGCTACCCACGATCCCGCAGGGAGCCCTCAGCGACTGCAGCGACTGCAGCCTTCACTTTGCCAGCCCAGACGCTGGCCTCTCTGCAGCCGCCCCAGCAGCACAGTCCACTACTACATCTTTGTGCTCAGAGTCACCCGAGGAATCACAGTAGCTGCTGTGGCTCGAGATCGCCTAGACTCTGTAGGCCAGCCCGGCAACAGGCGGAAGGCCCCATGGCACCGAGGAATCAGCGAGGCCGTGGCAGAGGCAGGGGCTCTGCAGCTTCCTCAGCAAAGGCTAAGCCCGCTGCGGCGGAGAGCACTAGTGAGCCGACGTCTCCCAGCAGCCCTGACTCACCAGATGCGCCGGCAGACTCCAGTGCCGCGCCACGGGGTCCGCCACCTCCGGTTCCAGTCAACCGGCCGAGAAGCAGATCCCCGGCTCCAGTGGGTCCTGCGACTACGACAGCTGCGCCGACAATCGCCGAGGCCTCGCCGGCCCCACCGCTGCCATGGGCTACCCCTGCAGGAGCCATGGCTCCTCTACCAGCAGCTGTGCCAATGGACCCGCCAGGCCCACTTACGACTAACAGTCCCCCGAGCGGACCGCCACTGCCTACACCAGCGACGAGCTATGGAGCCAGACCACCTGCGGGAGGATGCGGACCTATCAGCCCTGGCCCCTCTAACCCGGGACCCAGACCTCCGTCTCGACCGATCCGAGCAGCTGCCCCCACTTCCACCACTACCACGGTCCACACTCAAGGATGGACAATTACGATCCATATCCGTCCCAGTGGGCCCAATGGACCTGGATCTGGATCTGGCGGTCCCTAGAAGGAGCAGTGCAGCAGAACCTCTTCCACAGCATCTTCGACATGGCTACTGGCCTCAGGTACTGCCTCCTTGGCGTGCTCTTCTTCCGGTTCACCCGGACGTCATCCACTGTCCAAGCCGGCGGAAAAATTACTGCACTGCCGTTCACAGGCACCCTGCTAGCAGCAATAATCTCAGTGCTCAGCCTTCTCACTCTGAGCCACCCGGGCCGACCACAACCAAAGCATGCTGTACTGAGGTTGGCACCGCCCTCGTCTCCTGCCACGACAGGGGCCCAGCCGGAGCTGCACGCGACACTTGTGTCCTAGCTGGCACTGTGCCACCGAAGGTGGCTCTTCAGCGGCATGCCCGGTGTGCCTGCCTCCACCACACTCGCTACTGCAACCGTGCCATGCGGCGACACTGCCTTACTTGTCCCAGTGCAGGTACCTTCTCCAAGCACGACGCAGCCGAAGGAAATACGTGCCCTCCTCCGGCACCAGACTTGCTGCGGCCTCGGATCCCAGGTTACTGCATGCTACACCGGTTGCTGCAGCTGACTGCCATTGTTGCCAGCAGCGCCTCACTTGAAGATGCCTGTTCTCTGCGCTGCTCACAGCAGAACCGCATGGC